AAACACCAGAAAAATGAAAGGTAAAAAAATGTATCTTTTTGAGTAAGATCCAAAATGTAGAGACCATTAAAATTGATTAAATTCAACAATAAAAACCCAAATGTTTTCTGATTGGAAAAAATACACAATAAACGAAGTTAAACAATATATAGGAGAAAATATCTGCAATGTATATTAGATGTAAAGGGCTATTTTCATTAATATATGAAGAGCTTCTACAACTAAACTGGGAAAAGATCACTAATCCAATAGAATAAGAAAACAAAATGCAATGGATTTTAAACATATGAAAAGATAATAATAGAATTATTATTAGAAATAATTAGAAAAGTGCAAATCAAAACTACCATCAAGTGATAAAGACTTAAAATCATGACCACCACATTTTAATGGCAATCACATGAGAGAAGCAGGTACTCTCATGTACTTATTTAGGAGAATGTATGTTGATATAAGTCCTAGACAGAGCCATTTAAAATAAAGTAAAAAACGTAGGTAATCCTTGACCTAATAATTTGTTTTAGGAATTTATCCTACAGACATACTAACATAAGACAGCAATGATATATATACGAGCATATTCACTGCAGTATTATTTATAAGAGCAAAAGGTGTTCATCAATTGAGAACTTATTTTTAGAACTAGGATACATCCATACAATGGAATCCTTAAAAAAATAGAATAGCATTTAACAAGAATGAATGTACTGAAATGGGACAATTTCACAAATATCATTAATGAACAAAGCAAGATAAAGAACAGCATCTATCATATATTATCCATCTGAGTATTAAAAAGTTGGTAACAGAGGTTGCTTCTGGGGAAGAGTGGCTAAAGGTCCAAGAAGGGAGTCAGTTTTACTTTTTGCTGAATATTTATTTGTACTTTATGAATTATATACCATGTGCATGCTTACCTACTTACAACTTACTGTTCTAATGAGGGTATATGAGATCATTGAACAAATCTGGCTTGATAGAGGGATACAGGAATGAGGGGGCCACTAATCAAATGGAGGGGCAGAGAATGATGGAGGCCGAGAAGCATGAGAATCAAATTCAACAAGAGGGAGCGAAGTTTATACTAGAAATCAAGGTCAAAGTGATGTGAGAGCAAGAAGAGATGGGGATGGGGCTAAATAAAAGAACAGCTATAGAACTATCACTTAAAAGACAGACAAGAGAAAGGTAAAGAAGCTTTAGATGGGAGCCTTTAGGAGTCACAAATGAGCTGAACTTAGGTGCCATAAGTATTTATAAGTAATTTATAGTAATAGTATAATAAAGGCTTGTCAACCACTGGATTATAAAGTCAATTACAAATTAGAAGGGAAAATAATATCCATCCTGTTTATATCCAGTCACAAATGTCTGATGACTATGTTGATGCTGTTCTTTTAGGGTTTAGGAAGGAATATAAATCCAACTTGGGGCTCCTGCTCAGACTGAAGGAGCTAACCAGTCATTATTAATTGACTGCAGGTTGTCCAAAGCCGTAAAGCTTCGCTTTCTTCCTATTATGTTGTCAGGGGTACTATTGTGCAATTCAAAAGAGTTCAAATCAAGTATTGTGAATAAAAACTGGATAGGTATGCATGCCAGTCCATCTGCTTTACATTCAAGTTCAGAGAAGGCAGAGACAACATGTGTAGTTTTATCTGCACAGCGTGTGGCAAAGCAGGCTACATAATGAGATACTTGGTAAGGACATTTTGTTCTCGGTGGTGGTGACGGTGACAATAAACAGTGATTGTCAACCCTTCTTGGCAGAAAGCTTCTCTAGCAGTATCTTCCCCATAGCAGTGAGTGGGAGGGAAAATGGATAGGGGGCCGATCTCTAGTTTGGGGACCCAAATTCTGACTGGGTTGCTGTGATAACAACCAGATAATAAGTATCATGATCCCCATATTTGGCTTTCAGGTCCCCAGAGCAGCATGTTTCTCCCAACATGGAATACTGTCCTGCCACCTAATGATACAGTGCATCTCTATATGGCATCAACAGTGTGGGGCTTCCCTTGTCAAATGGTGAATCAGTCTATCATTTTAATTTTTAAGAGGACCATCTGGTCTTGATAATATTTTCTAAAAAAATAAAAGTAGTCAGGGGTGCCTGGGTGGCTCCGTCCATTAAGCGTCTGCCTTCGGCTCAGGTCATGATACTACGGTCCTGGGATCAAACCCCAAGTCGGGCTCCTTGCTCAGTGGGGAGCCTGCTTCTCTCTCTCCCTCTGCCACTCCTCCTGCTCATGTGTGCACGCTCGCTCTCTCAAATGAATAAATAAATAAATAAATAAATAAATAAATTAAATCTTTTAAAAAATAAATAAAAATAGTCTAAAAAGTAAATAACTCAAACTGAATCACTGTGTAAAGGAAGGGTCTTTTATTGAAAGTAGTTCATCCTTGACATTCCCAACCAGTGAAAACATTTTGGTAAAATTTAAGGAGTAACAAGATAATTTTTAGGGCTAGAAGCTAGTTCATCCCTTTCATTTTAAAAGATGAGCACACTGAGTCTCATCAAGATTACAGAGCTCAGTCAGGACTTTGCCCCACCACCATCTTGCCTCCAAATCCAGGAATGGACATGTTTAAAAAGAAGTCAGCATTTTATGGCTCATCTTTTTTTCTAAAGCAGAAAAAGGTTGACAGTTTTGTGTGAAGAAATTATGCCATCACCTTTCTTTTTTCCCCTTTTCACCAGAGGTGGGAACAAAGAGTGGAGATGATACTGCAATTTCTATCTCTACAACTTCATTTGAAATCATTCTCTTTGATTTACGTTTTCTTGAAATGAAATGGATAAACGGTGTTAACTTAGTTAAAGTGGGGGGTGGGTAGTTTATTAGACATCCTGTTGTCAAGAAAACTAATTCTCCCTTCCTCCCTCTCTCTCTTTGTCCCCCACCTCTCACACACGCATGCACACCACACCACCCACCAGTTAATACAGTGCCCTTTAAACTCTTCATCTGACATTTTAAAATTATTTTAAAATACTCAAGAGTTCTACTCTGAAAAATCTGTACAAGAAGTACTCCAGGGAATGGATTCCTAGAATTCAAACTTAGAGAGGCCTTTTCCTAATTCTAGGGAAGCTACTGTCATTCTGAGTCAGTGCGATGTTTCAGTAATATATGGGACAGCCTCCAAGGTCAGTGTCAAGTCAACCACAGAATGAGGCTATTGGAAAGAGAGAACTGGAATGAGAACTTTTAAAAAAGCAATAGAGCAGCCCAAGAGTAGGAGAAAGGTAAATGGGTCAATCCCTTGAGCCTTTATTAAGTATCTATCATACTTAAAGCAAGAAGCTATGCACATAAAAAAAAAAAAAAGTAAGTTAAGACCAAGCTAAAAGATATCTTAGAGGATTAGGTAGAGTTGCTTATTATTGAAAGAGGTGTACCACCTCCCTGCCCTTCCATCAGAGGAACACACCTCCCTGCCGCATCGATGTCAGGCTTGGCCAAGTGACTTGCTTTGGTCTCACTGAGGGCAGATGGGCTTCCTGACCTGATTTTGAGTTTGGCCATATAACTTGGTTTGGCCAATAGGATGTTAGCAGACATGATGCAGCAGAGACTTAAGATGTTCTTGTGCTATTAGGTTTGCTCTCTTGAACATTTGCCTTCACCTTGAGAAGAGCCTTCCCTGGTTTGCTTGCTATGCCAAGAAGGATGAGAGATAAATGGAGCAGAGCTGCCCCAGTTGAGCCTGTCCTAAATGACCTACCTGCCCAGAGGACCAACAGATGCACCAGAAAGCCCAGCTGAGTTGAGCCAAGGGTAGCTTAGATTAGTTGATTCCAGCCACCCCTTAGACATGTGATAAATAATAATTTGTTGTTTAAGTCCCTGCAATTTAGATTGGTTTGTTATGCAGCGATAACAAACTAATTCAGAGAGCATCCAGTATGATAATTTATTACTTTTGCAGGATCATATAGCAAACTAAAGAGCAGTGAGAACAACTTGGCCAAAACTATGGGTCTCCCAGGTAGGGCCATTTCCACAGAGTACAAGTCAGTCTTTTGAAAATCATCACTGGGAGAATAAGCGTCATGGATCCTATGGACAGAAGGGTTCACAAACCATGGGACCCCATTAGCATGTACATTAGGAACACAACAGAAGTTTTACTGCACCTAAAACAGTGATCACAGACCTGGAGGTCTGGAGAAGAGCTGCTAAAAATCACCGCATGGCTGAGGAGGAATGATACGAGAACAGACTAAAACGATTAGGACTCCAATGTGGAAAGATGCATGTTGAGAACCAATATGACTCAAGTCTGTCAAATCTTGAATAGAATAAATGGTCTTAACATATGTTTGTTCACCAGATTCTGGAATTTTATTTATTTTTTTAAAAAGAAGGAGCATTCTCTGAGGCATAAAAAGGGAAAATTCAGGAAAAAAAAAGGGGCTCTAGTACTTTATATGGCTGAGAACTAGGGTGACCAGATGTCCCAATATATCCAGGACAGTCATTGTGTCCACTGTTGTCTGGGGTAATTATTAATAGCATCCCCTTTCACGTTCAACACAGTATATTGTATTGGATGGTAGATTATATGGTCATACAGCTGACAGCATGTTTTCCCACAGAGTTGAGCAAAACGGGTCCAAGTAAGGTTTCGGTAAGTTCATAAGAAAAGACGACTCGTGGGTTCTCAAGGCAAACTAGACTGAGGCATGGAGGGCCACTGTATCCAATTGCAGCAGTAGAGCAAGATGGTCAAGGCACCCGGGGTCTGACCTAACTGGTCAGGGTCTTAAAGGCTGGGAAGTGGTGTTCTTTCAGCCTAGCATGGGGCCCCCTTGGGCAACCCTGGGGCCTCCTCCACTCCTCCAGGAGCCTTATCTGTACAGCTGGGCCCTCTCTTTGTGGATCCTTAAAAGACCTAAACACATGCAACATCCCCATTCTGGTTATTACTTCCTTATCAGAACATGCAGAAATCAAGATAAATGGTAGAAAAGTGGACTTCTCTCTTACCCACACAGAGGTCCATATAGCTTCCTGAGCTCCATTTGGCTTTCCCAGAAACCCTGTGGAAAGCATAGGACTATCATAAGAATAAGATTAAACAAAATTTCAAGTATTCATATTTATTCAGGAAAAAGTCTGGAACCGTGAGAACACAATTACATAAACAATAAAAAAGAATTCAAGTTCTATTGCTTTCAAGTACTTTGAAGTATTAGAATAAACAAGTAGCTTTAAAAAATATATTGCCAAGGAAAAATCTTAGTCAACTCTGCTTTAATGGATGGAAAGAGATCATCTGTACTTAAAGTATTTGTGTGTAATTGCTGCTAAAATATTTGAAAACGGTTTGCTTTCTCAACTATGTTAACATTCCCCTCGGCAATTTGGTTTATATTATTATTAATTTTGGCAAAGCCTCTTTTGACAGCCACTCTATATGTAAATGCTTGCAAATTCTGAATTATCATGATCCAACTGAAATTTTTAACTAAAATCAATGTAGTCAAAACATAAGAACCTTAGAGTAACTTTATATAGGACAAAACATTAGACATTTTGTCGTGGGAAACGAGTATACCTGGAGACAGCTGTGGGGTAGAGGGGTCAGAAAAGGCCACACCATTGTACTATAGGGTTGGGGTAATGTAGTGGGGATGGAGTGTGTGTGCAAATATAGATGGAGGAACTATAGGGGTGAAGGGCTGGAAACTGCTAGATCCCTGTGTTGTGGGAGTGCACTATACAGGAGAGACATCTGAGGGGTGGGGGAGAGGAAAGAGTTGGTGGGGATAGAAGAGGTGGATGTCCTTAATGGAAATACATCCCATTCCGATTACATCTACTTTCACAATCTAAGCTTGCCATACATCAAGGAAAGCTTCTATGAATATAAAAATAGTCGCTGAAATTACTATGTTCTAGAAGGAACTTGGCAAGGTTTGTACACACACGGATGACGAGCTGAAAAGGAGCATATGTGGAAATTAACCAGAGGCAGGAGCACAGTGTTCTCTTCATATCGACAGTTCTACTCTTTTTCCTCAAAATGTTAATACTAAATTACTCAACTGAATACAACTGATCATTCCCCCCTCCCCCAGAAATATATGAAATCTATTTACTTTGAATTTCCTATCCAGCGTGTTCTCTTTTGACACTTAGAAATTTCTTCACACTTGCTTCAAGGACGCACCGGAAGCCTTAATGAGATCGCTGTTTGAGGGCTTAGTATTGTGAATGTGCCACCCCCAAGACAGAGGTGAGGAGAAGGTGTTTAAAACACTAGGAAGAGAGCAACAACAACAATAAAGAGGAGAAAGAGTGTTGGACAGAGAAAAGAGACAGAAAGGAAGAGAAAAGAAAGTGAGGAAGAGGGAAAAGGATAGAAATAGCTAAAGTTGTTATCTGTGTCGTGCTGAGGGCCAGCCTTTCTGAGGCTGGGGGTGGGGAAATCCTAGAGAGATGCTGAACAGATATGACCAGGATTGGCCCAGTTAGCCCTGCATGTCTCTGTTTGGCTCAGCGGTTCTTCACACACAGCATCTGTCGGCTCCTGATGAAGGGTCTGGTGGCAGCACCACCATGAGTTCGCAGATTAAACCATCTGGCTTCTGAGAAAACCCAACGAAGGGAAAAAAAGTACTCTTAGAAGATGGTGTCCTGGGCTCCTATCTACAAATGCCTGCAGGACCTTTCCACTTGCATGTCGCTCCGGCCAGTCAAGGGTATCTCCCTGGACCAGCTGCCCTCCAGACCTTCTATTTCTGTCAACTCATGGCCATTCTCCCTGTGAACCTGGCTCAACACTTAGAGGTGCTTTGGCTCATTTGCCTTGAATTCTCTACTACGAATTAGTCCCAGGATTCACTAACTTTGCCCCCAATGTCCTTCTCTTTTCACCCTCACCATCTGGGCCAAGCCCTCACCATGTCACCTAGACTTCTTAAACTAAATCTCCCCTGAAGAGTGATCATCCACTTCAGGGTCCCTCTCCCACTCCAAAGTGATAGTACACTGACCTTTCTAGACTGCCAACCATCTAGCCTGTCACTCTCTCACATAGTTGCTTCCCCTAGTGCTCCCCCATCTTTGGCTTCTAGTCAATCCAGGCTGCTACTCAAGCTTGCCCTAATTCTCATTTAAGTGCAATCACACACATTGTTGCTCCCCACCTGGTTTGTGTTCTTGCCCTTGTGTTTATTGCTTCTGCCGGACCTCCTTCTCCAGGAAGTCCTCTAGGGTGATTCTAGCCCTGATAAATCTCCCTCTCCCCTGAAGGACACAACAGCTACCATCTCTCTCGCCTAATCTAGCACTAGGGTACATCCCATCTGGTGCTGAACACCGTGATTTCGTGTGCACACTTGAGGGTATAAGTAGCTTCTACTTCTTCCACATCCCAGGGCCTGGCATGTTTAGATACTCAGTCAGTGGGTTTTGGGGTGAATGGATGAATGAATGGATGATAGGACTCAACACATGTTGATGAGTGATAAGCAATGGATCATTGTCATCACGTGATAATTCATTCAAGGAGGGGAAGGCTCATCACACAGCTCCTTCACATATAGACCACCCCAGTGTGGGTGACCTAGATGGAAGCAGTGCTTCACGGGTACAGGTGCCCTGGGCTCAGCATATCTTATGCTGGAAGATGATGGAAGACTGCCCTTACCTGGTGGAAAAATGTCAAGTTTCCAATAAAAGGAGAAGGCTCGGGATGTCTGATGCCCAGCTTCTCCAGTCTTGAAAACGCTGATGTGGAGTACCTGAGGGGAAAAGCAAATCTTAAAAATCAAGAAACTGAAGTTTTCATTCATACATTGGCCCTATTAGGAAACAGAATTACTGAGTTCTCCTCAAGGAAGGATGGGAGGAGTGGTTTCCGGTTGACAGTGTCTAAGGACAGAAGAGATCAAAGCGTAGAGAAGAGTGAGTGGAATGGACCCCAGGAAATTCCTCCTGATCCCGTGATGGGCTGGAGATGGAGGAATCCTAAAATCTCACAGGTGGAAGACATCTTGGCGATGCTGTCTTCTAAATGCTCCTTCCCCACCTAAAATTTCCATCAATACATTGTTTTTAAAAATGTACCTCTCCCCAGTTCAATTCCTTTGCTTCTACACCGACCGTGAACAATTATCAGAAGGCAAGGCAAAAAAAAGTCACAATGGCAAAAATAAGTTCCCTGTGCAAATTTGTGTGTTTTGCTGGTCAAAACTGACCCCTGCACATAATTTGTCCCTCACCACATTCCATGGCCCAATAGAGAAACACAAAAATAGAGAGGGAGAGAACACACCATGGAGACAAGACCTCATCGCCAACCGCTTATAACCCCTTCGTGTCTTTGTTTTCATGGCCTGAAACCATATGGGAAGCATATTTTCTTAACCAAAAATCAGGAAACGTGGCCCGGCAGATTTTGGTGCCACTTTCCAGGAGGAAGCAGAGTCTGAGAAGTGTAGCATAGCCATCAAAACATTGGAATTACTAGGATATTTCACCAGTTTATGGGGACAGAGGGATAACACCGTTCAAGTCAGAACTGGCTTAGAGAAACCTGGACATATGGCTGTAATCCCTAATCAGCCAGCCAATTAGGTCAAAAGTTCAGTCAGTTCAGAAAAACTAATGAGTCAAACTGGGTGTTTAGCACCATGCAGAGATCAGCCAAATCTCAATTTAGGAGCAAGGAAAAATATAGAGCATATCATTACAGCCAGGCTTCCTAGGAGCATTAGAATTTAGATGAACAAAATGCTGCTCTAAAAATCACTCATCATTAGAAAGATGGAGTGTTCGCTATAGTCTTTGACCTTCCCCTTTTCAACCTGTAGTCCAATAAGGAGCACTTAAAATAAGTACTTTTTAATCAAATGTTCAAATATTCAGGGAAAACACAATCCGACCAAAGTGTTGGTTTGCATTATTCTGAGCAATGGGTCTACTTTTAAAGTAGTCACAAGGGAGAACCAAGAATGGGAAGGAGGTTTCCACCATCTGGCTGCTTTATTGGGTTTGAATGAATTCCCAGGACATCACACGTAAGTCCATGTTCAAGTGTGATTACAAACTGCACTCAGGAGCCACGTGTGAATTACACAGATTCGTCGTGCCAACACTCTTCTTCATTAGCATGTGTACCAAAGGTCAACAGCATAGTATGTATGAGTTACTCGTACAAGTAGACTATGATATTTTAAATAACTCCCCTCACACCCTGGAGGGAAAACCAAAGAAGACTTACCAGTCCACTTAAGACTTCCCTCAAGATCCTTGAATCTGGTTTCTAGGTTCATTTCTCCATCAGTTTTTGTGAATTATTTTCTAAATGTGATCTCTAATGGATGGAAGGATATACGTAGATCTTGGGCCATATAATTACATCTTAATTTTATAATTAGATGTCTTGATTGTCTAATTAAAGGACAAGAAGTCTGTACCTAATTACATGTGCTAATTATTATGCAAGTCCATGCCCTAATTATGTAACTCCACTTAAAAAACACTTGCTTGTGTGTCTCTGCACAAAATTTAGACATTTTCAAACATATGGCATCAGTGGAGAATGTTCTGGACACAACCATAAACTTCATTTTGCAACCCATACTCAAGTATAGAACTTGAGCATCTTCAGCTGGGAATTGGCCAAAAGTTGCCATCAGTAACCAGAGTCCTTGCACCAAAATCAGCAGGGGGAAAGATCACTGCCACCAGACTTGCGGGTAAAACTGCAAAGTGGGTTCCATTTGTCTTGCTCCCACTTCCTTCTCTGCACCCTTGTTTCATACTCCCTGGTTCCAGTGTTCCCACACTGCCCTCTCTCTGTCTCGAAAAGGCTCTTTGGACAACCCATGGACACCAGGTATTATGGGTTGAATCGTGTCACCCCAAAAAAGATCAACTGAAGTTCTAACCCCTAGCACCACAGAATATGATCTTATTTAGAGACAGGGTGGTTGCTAGTGTGATTAGTTAAAATGAGATCGGGACACCTGGGTGGTTCACTCGGTTAAGCGGCTGCCTTCGGCTCAGGTCATGATACCGGGGTCCTGGGATCGAGTCCCGCATTGGGCTCCTTGCTCAGCGGGGAGCTT